TGTGACTTGGGTTATACTCTTGCTTTTGTTCATATAAACTTGAACCCAACTGCAGAAACACAACCAACTACACAATCACATGGTTTACACAGCAAATGACACATATGTGCACAGCTAAAATTAGACAACAACTTGTAATAAAGAATAAACACAAATGCATATCTGTAAACACTGGAAACCTTCCCGTTTAACCGAAAGACATACACCAAATTACCTACAACGCCTTGGCTCCTCAACATCCTATTGGGGTTAACCATTTGCACATGTTGTTAAAAGTGCATATGTAATACATTTTAAAAAGGTTCGCTGTAACATTTTCTAATTTTTTCAAAGTGAAAATTAAGGCTGCACGTAATAATGTCCCAAATTCTGTGAAATATTACAAAATCAGAGTAAATCCTGACCCAGGGGGAATTTCTCCCCACAATTGGGAGCGGCTGTTGACATTAGTGCGGAAGCCGCCCTATAAGAAACTTCACTGAAAATCACTTCAGACAGGCATCTATAATAATAATAATCCTTGCATTTGATATAGCGCTTTTCACGTCGGGAGGACGTCCCAAAGCGCTTCACAGAATATACTGTAAAGTGAATTGGCTGTATATTTGTGGGCGAACGCAGCAGCCAATTGCGCACAGCAATGCCCCACAAACAGTCGTAGATTGAAAATGACCAATTTATTATTGTTTTGTTTTGAAGGGATTATTATTAGGCTCTGTGTGGAGTAAGGAAACTTGCCCAAGGTTTCGCCCTCTGCCTGGAATTGAACTCAGGTCTCTCGCTTGCGAGTGCTCTAACCACTGAGCTACAGGACTCCATCTGAATACTGAACGAGAACCATTTGAAACAGCAAAAGTTCAGTGTTGGCAGTGTACTTGGCGGGTGCTGAATTTTCTTGGCTTGGATGCCTCCCAGATGCTGATGCGTGGAATTTCCATTGGAACCAGTTGCTGGTGGTTCTCATAGTTGCTGACCTGCTCCAAGCTAAAAACGAAAGGGTGGATCTCAACCCTTGTAATCTCACTCGGAAGCTGCAAGAATAATGAATTAATGAGAGTGTGTCAGTGCAAGTAAGTGTGTGGTAAGTGTGGTAATCTACTCACTTAATCCACGACTGTCTGTGGGACACTGCTGTGCGCAATTGTCTGCCGTGTTTCGCCCCAAAAACACAGTCACTGCACTTTACAGTACATTCTGCGAAGCGATTTGAGAAGTGGGCATTGCATTTTTATAGCACCTAGACCCGTGAAACTCCTCCACATGCTTTATTGTAATCACAGTCAACTGTGTTGACTTTTTATTGTAGAAAAATGCAATAGTTAATTTGCACACAGCAAGGTTCCTCAAACAGGCGTGGAGTGCAGGAACAGCTCATCAAAGAACAAACTTCCTTCTCTTTTTGAATAGTACCGTAGAATCTTTAACGTCCACCAGAAAACAGGTAGATTTGGTTTAACATTGTATTTGAAAGGTGGCATATCTGAAGTATGACAATTCTGCGTGCCCCATGAGTGCAGCATTGCAGTGTCAACTTAGATAAACGAGCTCAAGTTCCAACATGGGCTTGAACTCACAGCCCTTTGACCCAGAGATGAGAGTACTACCCACTGGGTCAGGCTGACATCTGTTTCTTCAGTACTGAGACCAGATAATTCCAGTGAACTTGTTCTTACTTTTGAGTCACCGTATTCAAAGCGATGAATAAAATGTCAACATCAAAAGCTGTTACGTCCCCGCTGACGTAGACAAAGAAGGTCTCGGGCCACAAACAAGACGCTTTACTTTCTGAAATTCTCCGGCACTTTGGCATTAGACCTGTAAAACTCACACCTGATGATCTGGTGTTGAACATTTCTAAATAAGGGCATCCTGCACTCCAGAAAGGAATCCAGAGAGGTTGCACCAACAATACAGACCCCACTTCACTGGAAATAACTCCTTCAAAATGAACTAGTCACTATCTTCTATTCCTATTGTTTTGGGGTTAAGGAGACAGCACAATTGCAGTAATTATCTTTGGAGAACCGGGTAATCCTTTTTCAGCTTTCAAAATATCTTTGGCTTTAACTGTTCCTTTGGGACTGAGATAGAATGATTTAAACAGGTGTAGCTTTCACACAACTCCGTGTTCTGCAGAGAACAAATTGGACTAAAAATAGTACATGAAAGATGCAATAGTTTTCTTATCCAGAACCTCGGGATTTATAATAGATGTGTTTTTTTTTACAAGACATTCATTTCTGTAGTTCCCCAACTGGAATAAAGTCCCATTTGCAATTATTTAGCGTGAATAAACTGTGCAAGTAAAGGTTACAAATGCTCTCGTGGAGTCATAACATTATTCGAAGCGGTAGTTGTGTGCTGGTGATCAGGTTTATGATGATAATGCTTTGTTGATTAATGATTTAATTTAAAAGCTTACAAAAAAATAAATAATCCCAGTTTGAATATATAGTTTCCACGATATTCACTTGCATATGGAATGCCTAATAGATTGGTGGATTTCTATTGTGAAAATTGCTGAATTTTGCATACTGCATTGAAATTCAAATCGAGTTTAGATTGCTCTATCGACATTCAAGGCACAAATTAGCATACTTTTCATCGTTGCAAACAGTAAATTTCAGTGCCGCAAAGACGTACACCATACAATCTAAATGAAATATGGAATTTGAACAAGAGATATTACTGCTAAACTTTTACTCAATAGTATACAAATTGGCGGAGGCTGTACACACACAGACTCGAGAGGAAGGAGGCGAAACAACAACAAAATTACATTTATAGAGCGCCTTTCACGTCGGGAGGACGTCCCAAGGCGCTGGGACATACAGTAGGGGAGGTGAGCACGTGGAGTAAAGGAGATGCCGACAACAACTTGCATTTATATAGCGACCTTCATGCGGGGTAGCGTCCCAGAGCGTTTGGGCATACACTCCCCATGTAAAGGCATAACATGCAGGGAGTAACACAGTAAAGGAGTTGCACGCACACGCGCACACACATACAAGCGCACAAGGGTAGGAGAGCTTCTTGCACAGGGTTGCAAAGGAGTTGCATTGCATAGGGAGTGACACAGTAAAGGGATTGCATCTACAGGGAACAAGAGAGTGAGAGATTAAAGCAGCTACACGCACGCAGAGAGTTGCAAATGAATTAGGAGTGGGAGTAAGAGAGTAAAAGAGTGAGGGATTAAAGGCATGGGAGTAAGAGAGTGAGAGAGTAAAGGAGAGAATAAAGGAGTGGGAGTAAGAGAGTGAGAGATTAAAGGATTGAGAGAGTAGCATTGCACAGAGTCACAGAATAAAGGGGTTGGAGTGAGTCTTAGGGTGACAGAGTAAAAGGGTTGGAGTTAGAGAGTGAGAGAGTAAAGGAGCTGTATGTGCACATAGAAAATGAGAGAGTAAAAGGAGTTGGAGCGAGGGAGCGGGAGAGTATATGGAGTGAGAGAGTAAAACGAGTGGGAGTGAGAGAGTAAAGGAGTGGGAGTAAGGGAGTGAGAGAGTAACAGGAGTGGGAATGAGAGTAAGGGAGTGAGAAAGAAAAACGAGTGGGAGTAAGGGAATGAGAGAGTAAAGCAATGGGAGTAAGCGAGTAAAAGAGTGAGAGAATAAGGGAGTGGGAGTAAGAGAGTAAAAGAGTGAGAGAATAAAGGAGTGGGAGTAAGAGAGTGAGAGAGTAAAGGATTGAGAGAGTAAAGGAGTGAGAGTAAGAGAGCGAGCGAGTAAAGGAGTGAATAAGGGAGTGAGAGAGTAAAAGGAGTTGTGTGCAGAGATAAAGAGTTAAAGAGAGTTAGAGCTGAAGACTCAGCACAGAGAGCAGGCGGAGGGAGAGAATGAGAGGAGGGAGGGAGTGAGAGGAAGAGGGTAGGAGGGAGTGAGAGAGAAAAAGTGGGAGAGAGGAGAGAGTGAGAGGGAGTGGGAGAGAGAGTGAGGGAGGGAGTGAGAGTGAGTGACTGGGAGGGAGAGTGAGTGAGTGAGAGGGAGGGAGTGAGAGGGAAGGAGGGAGTGAGAGTGAGTGAGAGGGAGGGAGAGTGAGTGAGGGAGAGAGAGTGAGTGAGAGGGAGTGAGGGAGAGAGAGTGAGTGAGAGGGAGTGAGAGTGAGTGAGTGAGTGAGTGAGGGAAGGAGGGAGTGTGAGTGAGTGAGAGGGAAGGAGGGAGTGAGAGTGAGTGAGTGAGAGAGAGGGAGAGTGAGTGAGTGAGTGAGAGGGAGGGAGAGTGAGTGAGGGAGTGAGAGGGAGGGAGCGAGAGTGAGTGCGAGGGAGTGAGAGGGAGGGAGTGAGAGTGAGTGAGTGAGAGGGAGAGTGAGTGAGTGAGAGGGAGGGGAGGAGGGAGAGAGAGTGAGTGCGAGGGAGTGAGAGGGAGGGAGTGAGAGTGAGTGAGTGAGAGGGAGAGTGAGTGAGTGGGAGGGAGAGTGAGTGAGTGAGAGAGAGGGAGTGAGAATGAGTGGGAGGGAGTGAGGGAAGGAGGGAGTGTGAGTGAGTGAGAGGGAGGGAAGGAGGGAGAGTGAGAGGGAGTGAGTGAGAGTGAGTGAGTGAGAGGGAGGGAAGGAGGGAGAGAGTGAGGGGGCGGCCTCTCAGTCAGTACCAATGAGCCGCCGCCTCTCTCTCTCTCTCTCTCCCGTCTCTCTCCCTCTCGGCTTTAAACCCGCGGTGGCGGTTTGGCGGCGTCGTCGTCGTCGACTTTTTCCCCTGTGGAGAGATTCATACATTTTATATATATATATATATATATATTATTTTCCTGTGAGTGTGTGTGTGTGCGCTGTTTTTTTTTGGAAAAAAAACCGTCACCGACGACCGTTAAAAAATTTTTTTTTAAATTTTTTTAAAAAAAAACCGAATAATCCCTCGTGAGGAGAAGAGAAGAGAATCCGTTAGTGATTACTATTAGTAGTAGTAGTCGTCGTCGTAGTTGTTGTTGTTGTTGTTCCCCCTCCGCCCCTCACCCACCCACCCTCCCTCCCTCCCTCCCCGCCCGCCCCGGCAGGAGGAGGAGGAGGAGGGGGCGGCGGCGGCAGCAGGAGGAGCGGTCGGTCGGTCGGTCGGTCGGTACCTGAGGCCGAGGCGCGGCGCCATGTCAGACGTCAGGCCGCACTTCTACAAGCAGGAGCTCAACAAGACCATCTGGGAGGTGCCGGACCGTTACGAGAACCTCTCGCCCGTCGGCTCCGGGGCTTATGGCTCCGTCTGGTGAGTGAGGAGGGTGGGGTGAGGGGGAGGGAGGGAGGGAGTGGGGTGGCAGTGGCCACTATACCCAGGCTTCGCTAGGCCTCAGGTGGCTGGGTAGTGCTGATTGATGCTGACTACTGTTTTTAGTGATCACGAAAAAAAATATCCTGGAGGGAGAGAGAGTGTGAGTGGAGTGAGAGTGTGTGATGTGAGTGAGTGGAGAGAGTGAATGTGTGAGGAGAGTGAGTGGAGAGAGTGAATGTGTGAGGAGAGTGAGTGGAGAGAGTAAATGTGTGAAGAGAGTGAGTGGAGAGAGTGAATGTGTGAGGAGAGTGAGAGAGAGAGAGTGAATGTGTGAGGAGAGTGAGTGGAGAGAGTGAATGTGTGAGGAGAGTGAGTGGAGAGAGTGAATGTGTGAGGAGAGTGAGTGGAGAGAGAGTGAATGTGTGAGGAGAGAGTGAATGTGTGAAGAGAGTGAGTGGAGAGAGTGAATGTGTGAGGAGAGAGAGAGAGAGAGTGAATGTGTGAGGAGAGTGAGTGGAGAGAGTGAATGTGTGAGGAGAGTGAGTGGAGAGAGTGAATGTGTGAGGAGAGTGAGAGAGAGAGTGAATGTGTGAGGAGAGTGAGTGGAGAGAGAGTGAATGTGTGAGGAGAGAGTGAATGTGTGAGGAGAGAGTGAATGTGTGAGGAGAGAGTGAATGTGTGAGGAGAGAGAGAATGTGTGAGGAGAGTGAGAGAGAGAGTGAATGTGTGAGGAGAGTGAGAGTGAGAGAGAGTGAATGTGTGAGGAGAGTGAGAGTGAGAGAGAGTGAATGTGTGAGGAGAGTGAATGTGTGAGGAGAGTGAATGTGTGAGGAGAGTGAATGTGTGAGGAGAGTGAATGTGTGAGGAGAGTGAATGTGTGAGGAGAGTGAATGTGTGAGGAGAGTGAATGTGGAGAGTGAATGTGTGAGGAGAGTGAATGTGTGAGGAGAGTGAATGTGTGAGGAGAGTGAATGTGTGAGGAGAGTGAATGTGTGAGGAGAGTGAATGTGTGAGGAGAGTGAGAGAGAGTGAATGTGTGAGGAGAGTGAGAGAGAGTGAATGTGTGAGGAGAGTGAGAGAGAGTGAATGTGTGAGGAGAGTGAGAGTGAGAGAGAGAATGTGTGAGGAGAGTGAGAGTGAGAGAGAGTGAATGTGTAGTGAGAGTGAGAGGAGAGTGAATGTGTGAGGAGAGTGTGGGTGAGAGGAGAGTGAATGTGTGAGGAGAGTGAATGTGTGAGGAGAGTGAGAGTGAGAGAGAGTGAATGTGTGAGGAGAGTGAGAGTGAGAGAGAGAATGTGTGAGGAGAGTGAGAGAGAGAGAGAGAATGTGTGAGGAGAGTGTGGGTGAGAGAAAGTGAATGTGTGGTGAGAGTGAGAGGAGAGTGAATGTGTGAGGAGAGTGTGGGTGTGCTGTGTGCATACTTGTGGCTTCCACACTTCCCCCACCACCTCCTCCCTCCAGGCCAACTTTCTTTCCACAGAGTTTCTTTTCATCCTAAAACCAATTGCAATTAAGAGTCAGCAGGGGCTGTTTGCGTCTGGCTCACTTAACTTCTTGCATTATATTATCTCCAGGGTTTTCGTGCCAGTGGAAGGAGATCACTTACTGTATTTGGTGCGTGGATGCAAAAAAAAACACAACCATAGTTCAGTGGCTGAAGTTTTGGGGGTTTTCTTTTGCAAAAGTTTTGCTTATATTTAAAATAAAGCAATCCGGCTCCAGGGAGGGGGAGAGAGAGAATGGGCTATGGCCAGATTTTTACAATATTATTCATATAGAGTATTATTATATATTATATCTATGGCTTTTGACATAACCCCGTTTCCCCTGCCAATTGGTTGGTTAGTTACACAGTTTGTTTATTAGGCTTTAATGCAAAAGAAATGACAATGGCTGCATTTCGTCAGGACATTTATCGACCCAGAGGACAAACTGGATTCTGTTACGAAATCTCTGCCAATGCCTGCTATGCTGCCCTGATCTCCAACAGGAGTTGCTCAAAGTTGTGTGAGCCATTCCAGTTTCCACACGGGGGTGGGGTGGCGGGGAAGAAGCTCCCGTCAACCCTTGCCCTCAAGGGACCAGACTAAAAGATTGTTAACTTGCTTGGCGGAATGATGTGTTTACAGGGACATATGTTATTGCAACAGATGTTCTGTGGCATTAGATTAAGTGATGCTTTTTTTTCTTGTTCATTTTATATTGCTACCCGGTTTTAGAGTTTTTGCTAGTATTGAATCTTTTACAAACACCATTTACTGTGATTTAGGAAAAATGTGCATCGTTAAAGGTTGTTGGCCAATCTCGTAGGGGAAATACGATTTGAAATTTGGGGCAGTTCTTTTAATTTTTCCAAGTTGACTTATTATTTCCCAGTTTACAACGCTATATATTCTGTTGATGGACAAGGTCGCTGCAAATATACGAATATAAATATCTTTTTGGTGGCACTGGGGATCCTTTTGTTGGTTGGTTATACTTGGACCTCTGACAACAGGGCTGACTGACACTTTTGGTCTAAATGCAGGTAGAAACAGAAGTGGAAAATATACCAAGATCCACTGGATAGCTAGACCACACCTGGGGGTGGGGGAAGGAAATTGTTTCAGCAAGTACCTGCATGAAGCTTCCCAAGGAATTGGAGAAGTTCTGGGAGGTTGAGTAAATATGTGTTTACGCTTCTCGTTCCCTCCTCTCTTCAAACACTGGGGATATTCTGCGCACCACAAAATGATGCTAAACCACTCTGCAACCTTTACTGAGGAGAAGGAGGAACTGGAAGTTGGATCAGCCAAATTGCTTTGTGATGCAATTTATAATCATAATAAGTGGGGTGTAAGAAACCTATTTCAATCAAATGTGTACAAATTGCTTGTTCAATATCTGTTTGGATTGTATTCAACATGATGTGGAATGAGGGCGTGTAGATTCATCCTTAACAATTTCCAAATTCCGTGTGTTCCTCTTCTGCGACCATTTTATTGGGGGCGGTGACAGATTTGGAGAGTGGGGGCGGGTGGTGGGTGCGAGAAGTCTTGAGTGCACAGTTCCCAGTTTCTATTATACATTTCCTCATAGTTCTGTTTAAGTTTGGAGACTGATGTAGGCTTTTGGAAATGATTTTTCTGTTAAAAAAGAAATTTGGCCAAGTATCCTTCTTTGTTTGTATATCTTGGGCTTGTTCCAGAGATTTGAAATGAGACTCTTCCTGAAAAATCTTTCTCAGTTTGAAGAACTTTTGCTCAGTTTTTTTTTAATCCACACGGAGCCAGCCCTGCAAGATTGTTACAAAGTTGAGTTTATAAGATTTGCACGTGATTTGTACATGATTCATCTCTGTTTAATTTTTAAAAACGTTGTGTTTTCATGCACTAACTCTTTGAAGGAGTCAGTGAAACTGATGACAAAAAAAACATTCTCACTTTAAGGTGGAACTGATTACATGTAAACTGTTACGGTTATCATTTGTCAAAACTTAGTTCCTCATTGGTCTAAACGCAGGTTTGTGTAACTGCTTTTAGAATTATGATCTTTTGTGCTCTCCTTAAGTTAGCTTTTTGAATGATTTGAGGTAGCGTATTTGCGTTAGTTACTGAAAATGGCCTCAAAGGTTGAGGTAGTCAAATTAAGCATCAAGTATATGTTCAATCATTTTTTTGCATGTGGTTGGGCTTAGAACAGTTTATATAAGTCAGCCTTGTTGTTTAAATAATGGAACATATTGAAAAGGATATTGATCATTATTTGTAACTGATTTTTTTTAAAAATTGCAGCTGGTGGAAAGGCTACTGTTAAAAGAAACTAAATCTAAACATGACGAAAGGTTTTTTTAATGGGCGATTTCAACACGCGCTGGAATCTTTATTCTGAGATGCTAATAAATCTGTTCAATTTGTAAAACAGCTTAAAACGATGCACCTCATTTACTCATTTATTCAAATGTTAAAAGAGCAATTGTTTTTTGAAATCTGGTGTTGCACTTCTGTGCATTGCCCTAAAATCCTTCATAATGTTGTGCTTCTGATATTGCAAATTGCTGTTTTTGTTTCAGAGTACCTTTGCTGCAACACAGCTGGTTATTGACAAATGAAAAGTTGAATCACAACAATTTGCTTTTCACGTGTATAGTGCTTTTCATGTGGGAGACCGTCTCAAAGCGCTTTACAAAACAAAGTGGAAACCAGAGCTGGGAGGGCGATGTGGGGGAGGTGGCTGAAGGTGCAGTCAAAGAGAGGTATTCTGACTGGTTTTGAAAGCAGAGAGGGAAGCAAATAAGGCGGAGACATTTCAGAAGAGAGCACTGGAAAGCAGGGACAGAATGGTTGTCGATGGTGGGGTAGATGTGGGCAGGGAATAGGATCATACAAGATCGAAGAGTTAAACTGTGAAGCACTTGATGTAATGCTGTGGAGCACTTGATGTAAGGACCAATATCTTAAAGTCGATCAATTGAGATAAAAGGGAGACATTGTTGCTAGAATGGGGATGATAGGGGATCTGCCCCATTGACTGATCTGCTCATTCAAGTTTTCACTATATGCCAAGCCACTGTCATCAACAGTGGCTTGCAATATAGCGAACACACCTTCATGGCTCAGGAATTGGGCTACTGAGAACTGTTATTGAGGATCGACTCAACTGATATTCTATTGCTAGATGCTGGCATTACTTAGCTAAAGCTTATGGAGGGTAGAGTTTGGGAGGCCAATAATCCCAGCAGAGTGGGGAACTTGCCTGGAGGTGAAAAAGGCATGGATGAGGGTGTTGGGGTGATGTACAGACAGGCAGGCGATGTGGAGTTGGGGAAAATGGATTTAGTTGGAACTCCACAAATGGTTAAGTAGAGACTTGATGGTGGAACAAGACGAGGAGAAGAATAAGGTTCCTTACAGGCTCTGTGAGGTGGAGTGAGTAACCGGTGAGATTAATGTTGTTGGCCTCGAAGTTGAGGTGATTTTATGAAGCGAGCTGCAGGAGAAATAATTGTACATGCCTTA